ATAATAAAGTTATAGTTAATATAATATATATTTATTACCTTTAAAATTTAAAGGATTAATTAATATTAATAGGAATAACTACTCTATCCTAAAGGAGTTTTTAATAATTATAATTAATTATAACTAATTAATAAAGGTTACTTATATATAGATTAAATCTAGACTATATTAATTATATAGCTTTTTATCATCTTTTTAGGGCTTATTTATATATAAGATCCTTATAACTATCTATATTAGATATAGAATCATATATTATATAGATACTTTATATCTAGGCGCACCTAGATATATAAATATATTAAGATATAGATATCTATCTAGATATAGACATCTATCTAGATATAGACATCTATCTAGATATAGACATCTATCTAGATATAGATGTCTATCTAGATATGGACGTCCATCTAGACACAGACGTTTATCTAGATATCAATATTAATATAGATATTCATCTAGATATAGATATCTATCTAGATATAGATATCCATCTAGACATGGACATCTATCTAGATATAGATATTAATATAGATATTTATCTAGATATAGATATTTATCTAGATATAGACTATAACTATTAGGCCACTGCCCTATACTAGATAAAAAACTAGACTTTCTTATAGATTATAACCTAATATAAGATATCTCCTATAGTAAAGCTACTAATATTAATCTAATTAGAGACTTATATTATAGTAATAATAAGGTTATCTAGATGCCTTAGGCAGGTTATAGTAAATAAGGTTATTATTTCTATTTTAATTTAATATAGAAAAGAGGAGAGAGATATTCTTATAATATATCTCTCTCTCTTCTCTCTTATTTCCTCTCTTTATTTAAATATTCTAGTATTAAAGTTATTAATTAATTATTTATTTACTTAGGGCTATTATATAATATTTAAACTAATAAATCTTAATTTCTATATAATTAATAGTAGTTAAATAATACTCTAATTATTTAATAATTCTATTATAATATTTAACTATTAAATTATATTAATAATAAAAAATATAATAAGACTAAATAATAACCTTTAAGTATTATCTAGATATTATAAGACTCTTAATAGAAGATAATAATAATAAGATACTAATTAAAAGTATAAAAAGAGGTAGACCTATAAAAAGAGAGAGATTAATAAATAAGTAATCTTTTATAAATAATATCTAAATAGAGTAGCTATCTTATTATTTTTAAAATATTATAAAATAAACTCTTTTTAGAAATAGAAGAGGCTAAGTAAAGTAAAGTTATAAATAATAGGCTATAGTATAAGATAAAGTATTAAAAGAGCTATAGTGCCCTTTTAGGTATAGAAGTATTAAATATAGATTTATAAAAGAATTAAAGGCTAAATAAAAGAGTAATATTATAGTAATAATAAGATTATCTAAATATTTTAAATAGATATTAATAATTAGGGCTGCTATTCCTATTTTAACTTAATATAGGAAAAAGAAGAGGAATATTAAATATATTTTATAATATATCTCTCTCTCCTCTCCTCTTTCCCCTCTTTATTTAAATATTTTAGTATTAAAGCCACTAATTAATTATTTATTAGCTTAGGGCTGTTATAGATATAAATATTTATATAGATAAATAATATATATCTAGATATAGAAGTCTATCTAGATATAGATATCTATTTAGATATTAATCTAGATATAGATATCTAGACATAGACATCTATCTAGACATCTATCTAGGTATCTATATCTATCTTAATATAGACATCCATCTAGATATAGACATCTATTTAGATATAGATATTTAGATAAAGATATTTATCTAGATATAGATATTTATCTAGATATAGATATCCCTCTAAATATAGATATTTAATAATAGAGGCTAAAGGTAGAGGAAAAACTAATAAGAGAATTATAAAAACTAAAAATAATAAAATTATCTTACCCTAAACTCTATAATAGTATATAACTATATATATATATAAATAGTAGAGATTTTCACCTATAACTATACTACCTTAATATTCCTTATTTAATCTATAGTAAGAATAGATAACTATATAAAGAATAAGCTTTTTTTAGAAGCTTAACTAAGGTCTATAGCCCCTCTAGTTATTAAGATATTAAAGATATTATAGAAACCTTAATTAGGTTTAGTATAAGAGTTCTATATTAACTAGATTAAGGTTTTTATAATATCTTTAACCCCTTATAACTCCACCACCTTTAGGCCTATAAAAAAAAGGACTATATTTTTGAAATCCTCTTAAAAAACGAATTATCATATTTTAAAATAAAGAAAAAATATGAAGGTTTAGGAAGTATCTAAAATATGAGATTTGCCCTATAGATATTATAATAATAATTTCTTTCTAGGTCACTAGTAGGCCCATATTTCTTTAGTTATTAATTTATATATATCAATAGTGGTGATAAAGATTATAAGTGTAAAATGAGTTCTGGCGCCAAGTCACCTATAGTCCGCTGTATTAGCGCCATCCTGCTTGCCTTTTCTCTCTCGCCTGCGCGCATCCTAGATACCACCACTATCATCTATCCACACATCTCTTCCGCTTTCTCCAGGCCATCCGTTGCCTAACATAATATAAGGCAGTCACTAAAATAGGTAATAGGCCTAAAGGAAAGGCAGCATTTGCGTCTATTAATATGATTATTTTTACTACCATAAATAAGGCTTCTGCGCCATATATTTTTTAAGAGATGATAAGTACTATAAGATTAATCTATAGGACTTTGTCTCCTTAATTTCTAGGCGTACAAACCCGCATTTCTATTGGTATGGCCATACTTTTGTGTGTAGTTCCCGTTGGCGCTCATTCTCAGCTAAATCAATAAACTCGCGTTGAAAAAGATTATTCAACTCCACGGCACGCTCATAATACTCTCGGCGTACCATACCGCCCAATGGAATAAGCCCTGTGTCTTGCAGCTCGTGGAGAACTGCTGAAATCCCCTCAACAAGGCTCATCTCATCCTGGTGTCGTATCAGCTCTTCTTTGCTGAAATGAACTGGGCATGATGTTTCACTATATCCCATGTCACTCCAACGGGCGACAACTGTGATCAATGCATTGCGTAGCGAGAATAAGTCCTCTCGGTGCCAGCATCCAGGGACTAAAGAGAATGGATTTGTCTTGACCGTGAGTAGGGGATCTGTAAGAACTTCCCACCGGAGAGGATCCGTTTCCTTGACCACATTGTAGTAATGATCCAAAAGCTTCTTCTCATGCCTGCTTTGGCTTGAATGTGGTGTAACAGATAGTTCAAGCATCTGTGGACAAGACCGTTGCAGAGATATCGGACAAACAGAAGTCTGTTGCCAGTCTATTATGGAAGTGATCCGGTTAGTCCCTGGGTCGACGAATACGTTGTCAAGGTGCAGGTCTGGATGAAAAATCCTGTTGGGCTGCTTGATATTTGACGAAGCGGCCAAATATGGACTCAGGGCCAAGAAGGCCTTGATAAGGGTGATATAATCGTTCGGTGTCTCTGGAGTCTCCATAGATCGATAGAAATTGATCCTTGGCCTCGCATAAGAGGTAGCCCATTCAATTTCGTTCTTTCCAAGGGCCGCAGCGTAATCAGCGACGCTCCCCCCTAAGCTCGCATTAGATGACGGGAGAATATTTCATCTTGGGAACATACATGGGCCTCTGTCCAAATCCATTGCTGCTTTCTCACGTTCCCAGAAATTTGGATGAGCCGAAGGTCCGATTACGAACGCTGGCAGTTGGTCGTTTTGACCCGTCGCCTTTCGTGAGCAAAGGGGCTCATAATCTAAGGATCTTGATTTAAGATCGGTCTCGTAGTATATGCAACCGTGTTTCGGGAAAGATATCGACGCAATTTTCTTTTCCATTTCCACGACCTGGTTCACGACATCCAATCGCGCAGCCAAAGTGAGGTTGGCCCAGACATTCCCAAGAGGCTGGCCGGTAGCCTTTTCTTCGAGAATATATTCAGCGCCTACGGGATTACATGCCTCGGCCGACCAATCATAGATGCGAGGAATAGGTATGCCCAATCTGTCGCGTAACTGACTTGGATTAGCCCCGGCTTAGAAACCAAGGTGAAAATGGTTCCACGTACAAATTGGCGTGTCGCAACTTCTGATGCAACTGTGTAGAAAGCTGGTCCAGCGTTTGGGTTGGGCAATCGAGCGACGACCTCCAGACCATTGCTCATGGTCAGGAGAAATGCTTTATTAAATTGCCCTTCCACACATTTAAGTAGCTTCACACCTGTCTTGACATTTAGCGAGACACTTTGCATTAAATAACAACATACAGCTTATTTCATCATTGCGCGCAGTTTTGACAGAGGTATCCAGAAGGGCTTGCAAATTGAATTTGCGGTAGCGCATCGCGAGCTTCTCAGACTCTCCACCCCTGAAAAGTCAGAAAGCTCCAAACAACCCTGGGACTGACATACAGCCACCGGTAGCGTTGATACTGGTACAAGTCGTCCACATCGATGGGCACCTCTACCAGCATAATCAGTTGTCGACCTAATGAACGGGAATTCAGGGATCACCTGATCCATCCTCGAGTGCTCTCCAAAGAGATGTTGGCGTTGATTGCATCTTGAAAGTCCGTAATGGATACCTGGAGATAGCCTTGAAATTCCGATAAGCACCGGGAATGCGATTTTGACAGAAGGGACTCATTGTTGCATAGTGTCGAAAGGTCGTCGTTCCCAAGGGGGTTTGAATGGTTCTTAAAGTTACTCGGGAAATGGTATTTCCGAGTCCGTAGAACTGCAACGGGGGAAGGCGGCGGAGCATTTTGGTAGGCGTTCTGGTGCTATGCAAAATGGTACCGTTCTGTCACAGGAATATATGACCATATAGGGCCCTAATTAATGTCTGGACATTTTTAGTGGCTCAGCGGTCTAGTGGCCCCCTGGATTCTGTCAAACGTTCAAAGTCCCAGCCCAAATTTCGTCAGATTCGGGCATTGGAGTCTAAAAACGGGAGAAGGAAAATAGCTGCATGGTCAGCTATATGGTCAGCTATAGGTTAGGAATTAATCTTGGCCGAAACTAATCAAGACTATATTGAAAATCCGATATAAAGACATGCCTCGATGCCCCGGGGACAGTTGGGACCGCTTAGAGCTGGCGGCTCAGTACAATTATATAACAAAAAGACCAATAAAGATAATCTACAAGAATTCCATATGCTAAAGTTTAATAGATGTATATAAGCAGTGTGCAGAATATAAATAAGAAAATAGGTGTATATATATATAAAGCTTACTAACTCTAAGGTGGTCTTTTATTAATAGTTAAGTATATAGACTACTAATTACTAAAATTAATAAAGATAGATTAGTTAAGAATTTAAATAATAAGTAACTAATTAAAAAAACACCTGAATTATATAGCAAAGCAACCTAGATCTGGGCGTTATATATATATAGTAGTATACCACAGCTAGCTTATTCTTGGCCTCACTGCTCAAAGATACGCTTCGCTTGGAATCATATTTATACTAAACATCATTTTAAGCCAACCATTACCTTTATGGGCGCCTTTATTTTCATTTTAGTCAGCATATTCAGTTACAGTGAGCTTGGAAAGGCGCGCTGTCCTACCACTACTTTGTGTTTTCAACGGCTGTCGCAAGTTCCTCGACATTGAAATTGTCTCCCAACCCAAAGCGTATTTTCTGGCCAATTACCTGGTGAGTACCACTGTGGCCTCCAGTTTTGCCCTTGATGAATTCTTTAACAGTATTGTCGGTTGCCTGACTGTTTGCTTGAATTATGCCAGTAGCCATTGTCGTATCTTGGGTGTTTCGGTGGACGTCGAACCGGAGATCTTTGGTTTTGACAGCAGTTTTGCTAGTTGCATTGTCGGCAAACTGAAGAGTTTTGAGGGAGTCTGCGTTCTCGCGTATCTTTTTTGCTAGTCCTTGAAATGCGGACTTGGAGATTTTGCTCGTCATGACGCTGTTGGTAGCTAGATTTCGCTTGCGACAATAGTTTTGACAAAATCTTAGGGGACCACTAGACCGCTGAGCCACTAAAAATGTCCAGACATTATTAGAGCTTTTATATGGTCATATATTCTGTGACAATAGTTGAGGACCGCGGTGATCCATTATTGCCGGAGACAGGTGCCGGACTTTATAGGAAGTCCCGGAAAAGAAAGAAATGGAGAGATATGGAGTCTGAGATGCTTGTAATTCCGTAAGCGCTGCTGGCGACACCATTCAAAAACCATAAATTACGCCGCATGACTTATACTCGAAGCTTCAGCCTATCACCACGTAAGTTCAAACCAGCAAAGGTCAAAGCAATGCGCTCTTTTAATTTAGTCGAAACTTGTCCGCGCGGATAAGATTCGACCAAATCGGAATAATAGGCTATTTTTGCAGATGGCTACGAAGACCTGATTTTAAGCCCTGGTGTTGCAGTAATCTTCATTAACAATGACTATATAAACTAGATTATATTATAGTTAAGAAGGGATATAAACTAGTTAGGCAAAGAGGTACATCTGTGTGATGTCAAGGGCTAGCCTTACACTAACTAACATAACTAAAAAGATAAACATCACTATAAGATGCTCTTGCGGACCCCTAGGCCCCCCTACATAACATTAGTTAGGTCATCCTAGACCTAGGATCCTGTTGCAGAAAAGGATGACCTTGAGGCTGCCAATCAGGATGATTCGCGTATATTTACACTATTACCTAACTAGCTAAGCCTAATATAGTTAGTATTACACTCTAATTTTTCATTTATTAGGTATATCTAGCCTAACTGACATTAGATAGGCCTGAGTATATGAATTATATAGGAATATAATACTATTTAGCCCTAAATATATATAGGATTTATTAAAGTTATAAGCCTAATTAACTCTTAATTATTATTATATTTATTTATAAGCTTTAAAGACCTACTAAAGATATAGAACTATTATATTAATAATACTACTAAGTTAAAATAATATTTATAAATCTATACTATATATATAGATTACTAATATACTGCTAATAAGCTAAAAATAATAAGTATTCTAGATAAGATATTAAATAATATAAAGATATTAATTTTATTAAGAAATAGTATAGACTAGTATCTTTAATATAAAGCCCTATAAATTATTATAGATTTATATAATATCTAGGATTATATTAATCTAGATAATAATATAAAACTAGAGCTATTAATAACTTTAGATATTATAGATTATAAGAAAGAGGTATAATTGCCTAGGGACCTAAAGGGATACTAACTAATTATATATATTAAAGCTAATAAAGAGTATTATTATAAGTAAAAGAAATATAAATAGTTAAAGATAAAGATCTCTTATATCTTAAGTTATATATTTTAGTCTATATAGACTAATCTCCTAACTATTATAGTTAATAATAATATTATAAAGGGGATAATTAAGTAGTTATAAATATATCTAATACTAATAAAGATATATTATAAAGTTAAGCTAATAAATTAATAAAAAAATATTAATAATAAATATATATTAAAGACTAATCTAAATAAATAGTTAAATAGTTAGGAATCTATATATTATAATTATAAAGATATAAGGATTAGAGCTGTTATAGATAAGATATAGTTAATATTATAATTCTTAAGCTATATTAATTAACTTTATAAAGACTATATATTAAATATAGAGTTAAAGCTTTAATATAAAGACTTATAAGTAATAACTATTAATAAACTATTAATAAATTTTTAATAATATCTTATAATATAATTAAGTAAGTATATTAACTCTATAGATATAATATTTATAATATATAAAGGATAAGATAAAAATAAATAGAAAAAGGCTAAAAAAGAGGCTAATAAGGATTAGACTTAAGGGTCTTATAAGCTAAAGAAAAGGAATAAATATATATATAGTAAATAATATTTATTTAATATATACCTATATATTAATAAGTATATTTAGAAGTTAGGATAGAAACTAGATAATACTATTATAAAGAGATTTAAATAAGTAGAGAAGAGAATCCTTATATTAAAAAGTATTATAAATAGGGCCTATAAGAAGGTGAATAAGCTCTATATAAAGAGAGAAGAGATATATAATACTAATACTATTTATTAAATATATAATATTTATAGTATATATATTAAATTTAATAAAGATAAGTATATAATTAAGAGCTCTATAATAAGCTAAGCTATTAATATAAATAATATATATATCTAATAAAAAGTAGGTAAACTATTTAATATAAATAATATTATAAGATATATATTAAGTAATAGCTATATCCTAGATTTAGGCGCAAGCATATATATTTATAATAACTAATCTAGATTTATTATATATATATCTATTAATAGTATATTATAGATTAGCATAAAGTATAGCCTATATAAGGGAGTAGATATAATTATAATATATCCTAAGATAGCTAATAAATATTAGACCTCTCTAGATCTTAAAGATATAACCTATACTCTAGGATTCTATATAAATCTTATATTATATAAGTGAT